GCGGGAGTTGGGGTTTTGGCGGGAGGAGCGGGGGATTTAGCCGGGACGGGGGTAGCAGCGGTGGTTTTGGGTTGCCCCAGCTTTGGCTCGGGGATCTTCTCTCCCTGCCGGTACACGCTGACGGTGATCTCCACGAACTCCCCGCCGTACTTGTTCCTCACGTTGATGCTGTACTTGCCGGAGTCGTCGGGCGTCACCTTGTTGATGAGCATGCTGGCGAACTTGCCGCCCTCGAAGGTGACCGTGGTGTGCTCGTTGGAGGCCACTTCCTGCTCGTTCTTGAACCAGGAGACCTCGGGGGTCGGCTCGCCCCACACGGTGCAGGTCAGGCTCAGAGACTGTGAAGAGAGGGGGGGGGGAAGATCGGGTCAAAATGTACTAAAGATGTCTGTTTTTTTAACACCACAACAACATTTCATTACCCCTTAACCTGTCATTTTTAAACCCTGTCGCAACAGCATCAGCGCACCTAGAAATATAATTTATTCTGCTTTAATGGGGGTTCCCCTTTCCTGTAGTGTGTTATATAGGTGGTAGTGCATGTAAATGGTCTGCAAAGGCTACAATCCGTGTGTTTTGAGTTTTCCATGCCTCCATTGGACTCTTTGTTTACTTCCTATCACTATGTAACACTCACGTTTCTATTGGCTCGCGCTCCAACACATTGCATTTGATAGGCTAAGGGGCGGGACATCTCTAAGCGGTTGACCAATCACAACATAACCGAAAGAAGATTTTTTTCTTTTCTCAGACTTTTAAAAACATCTTATAAAAGCGGTTTGATCTTTTACAAATGGAACTTATAATTGAAACTTGGTTGAGATGTGTTATTCTACACCAACCCAGACAAGTAATCCTATAGAAGTTACAGAGCATGTCAGCAAGTTATTCAAAGCTCAGCAATCTCCGTCTGTTGATGAAGACTTTGTGATATGGTCTACGCCTCTATTTTCTTTACAGCCATTTTTAAAATAATGATTAAACTACTAGTGTTCGTGCTTATACATTCAAGTGGTCCTGAAACATCTTTATATAAAACCACAACCGCTACTGAGCCTGCATGTCCTCAGACACATCACAAACTCTGTGGATGAAGACTTTGTGATGTTGTTTAAACATCTAAAAGTTAGTTAGTGGGTTAACCTTGAGTTGGGATTTCTTTGTGAACCAATACAAATGTAAAGAGCCTTCCTGTCTAGCCTCCAAACAGGAGACGTGACGGGTCATAAATCTTATTTAACATTTTTCTTCCAACACCTGCTGCCTGTAGGAATGCTGACAGGGCAGTAAAACTCCTCGCCCCCCCCTCACTGATACTGGTGGCTAGTAACGATGTACACAAAACACCTCAATATATACTAATATCATCTTTAACATTATTAACATATGTTTCCTCACCTTCTCTTCCATAATGGTGACAACATCAGGCAGACCACCCACCACTCTGCCACGGTCTGAGGAGAGAGAACAACATATATGTTACCTCCTAAAAGAATACAGAACTCTTACCTTAATAAAGGGTTTAATCGTCCTTATCAAAGGACATGCATTAAACAACAGGAGACGATATATGCCAGATTTAGTTTTAAGTCCAGCTTGGAAAACAATTTACTTAAACGGGATTACGTTATTAGAATACAAATTAAAAGTATATTCAAACTGTATTTCCTTAGTTACAGAAGAAATGATGTAATCCGATTACTGTTACATATTTAAAAAAAAGAAAAGAGGATTACTACGAGGTTACGATATATAATACAATTTAAATAAAATCGGTATAACATGCGCACAAATCCTATTTTTGCTTTGTAAACTTTACTTTGTGGTCATGTAAACTTTCGTTGTTGGCCGTATGATACAGCATGAATCTACTTAATAATACATTTCTTATACATCCTAATCATTTCATTTAAGTAAAACACTAAAGCACATTTTAATACTAGATACATGAATCTTGATTTCAGTTTTTTATAAGCAAACATAATACACTTAAAAACATCTTATGTATAGTTATTTTTTCAAACTCGTTGAACTCTTCAGAATGTCCCTCGAGGTGTCTTTAAAACCTCATGACTTTAACCAAAACATCTCAAATATGTCCCCTAATGATCAGTCGTGAGTCTACAGGAGTACATAATCTCTCAGTGACAGTGTCAGGAGGATAAATAGCGATATACTCACTCTTCTCAGCAAATGCAGCGGACCTAAAAGATAAAAGAATACGGCATGGTTAGGATTGAAATAAAAAATACATTAAAATTAGGGCCGGGACTTTAACGCGTTAATTAAGATTAATTAATTACACAAAAATTAACGCGTTAAAAAAATTAACGCATTTTAATCGCACTTATTTTTGCACCGCGGAACGTTTCTCACTGGATGAGTTTCAGGGGTACCGATTATACTGGAGCACCAACTAACGTTCATTACTTCAGACAACAACAAACCACAGTGAACAATAGTCAAACGTGAACGAAGAAGCTGATGAGACCGCTTTGGTTGGCCCCGTGGATGGGACATTTTGTTTTAAAAAACGGACGGAGGGAAGAGTCGATAAGAGCACAGTTGTTTGCAAATTATGCAAAAAGGAATTCGCATATCACCGCAGCACATCAAGCCTCAAGTATCACCTCAATGCAAAACATATAGCAGCTAGCGTAGAAGCTAGCGTGGACGTTAGCCCGACTCGGAATACAAGGACCCACACCCAATTCGCGTTGATCAAACAGTGGCCTATGCAACAGAGAGATTTTATTTTTCATCAGGATATTGAAAGAATATTATTTTATTTTAAATGGTAC